ATATATATATATATACATACATACATACATACATACACACATACATATATATATATATATATATATATGACCACTTTCAAAAAAGGCTTCACCCATATCCATTCTACTTGCCTGGTGAATCCATTTGCTTACAAGACTCCCGACAGAATAATTGTGGTATCCAATTGTTTGTTGTACATACCCAGATTGAAGCGATGTATACTCGCACAGATATTGGGCGCCTTGGCCCCGTTCTTATTCCAGGCTTGATTCACCAACTCTGTGGATTTGATCTGAAGTGGTATCATATTGATGTCGGTTTAGTTTAGTGATCCAATGTTTTTACCAGCAGCATGGTACACACGTTGAACCTCTGTAAAAGTCTAACTGAAAGCTACGCCCTATCTTTGCGTATAGCAACCGTTGATTCGAGTAAGTACGCATCCTGTGCGGCCACAAGCACTAGTAGCCCCATGATGGACTGAAAGTATGGACATAGCCGCCGGGTTCCACATTTGTACCGAAATCCACGTGTAACTGTACGAAAGCACATACATGTAGCTACAGGTTTTGCAACACCCGCTCGAAGAGATCGAATATTTCTGTGCCATGCCACGGCAACTATAAGGAGGCTAGTCCCAACACACATGGCTGCCTTCTGATGACGATACAGCTATCAGTTTATCAGATCTAGTTGGGCAGATCTTGTCAACTGCACAGAGTGCGGTAATGCTGGTGTTGCAGACAAGTCCAAAAAACGCCCATGTGTTGGTATACAGATAAAATACGTAAAGAGGGTGCACGTTCCCTGGTGTGGTTGGTGTGGTTACTATACCTTGGCAAAGAGATCAAAATCAATGAGGGTCATCTGACGGGCTATCTCCAGTGTCGAAATGTTGAGTATATCGTAGCTGTCTGGTCGCTGTGGCATCTGTGTGCATTGCAGTTGGTGATGTGCGTTAGTGTAGTGCGAGAAGAGGGTGTACTGTCATGTGCCAACAGACCTGTGCTCTTATGATACACTGTGGATGAGCTGGATGGTACTGCGTAGACGTTGAGTTCTGGATCAACAGGAGTGGTCACGGGAGAGCCGCTGTGGGAACTGATGATGCCGAAGCCGAGGGTGTGTTTTATGTGTGGAGGTTGAGAACAGGCATAGAGATGGAGAGCACAGCAATCGTGCATATGATAGCGTATACTTTGATACGAACATGTACTATTTATTTAGATAAGTGGCGCATGCAGTTACTAGGAATAGTGATACACTCACAACGATATAGTTTACAGGTCGCAATGCACTCACATAAACAGAGAAAAACATGGAAAATACATACATGCAGGCATTGATGAATGCAAAGACACACACACACACACACACATATATATATATATATATTTACTTAGTTATCCAGTCACACACAAGAGCTTGAGTTAAACAACTATAAAGTACTGTGACATTGCATTGTGTAGATATATGGAATCTCCACAATCGCATACAGAAATCAGTCTTTGCACACACGATCACTCTGCTGGTGTTTCATTCACAATACAGTGCTCGATAACACACACACACACACACACACACACACACACACACACACACACACACACACACACACACACACACACACACACACATATATATATATATATATATATATATATATATATATATACGTAGTACGTAGTAC